CTAATAAGATAAACGGGCGTAGGCTAAAAGTCACCTCGTTTTAACAAAAAAGTTCAAAAATAACGATTATGACAATTGTCACTTTTCTGTGGTATCTTCACTAAAATTTTAATTTAACATGTTTACAATATATATATTTACCAGTTTTCTTTTAAAAAATTCAAAAAAGTTCTAAAATAACGATTATGACAATTGTCACTTTTCTATGGTAAATCTTCATTGAAATTTTAATTTAACATTTTTACAATATATATTTTTACCGATTTACTTTAAAAAAATTCAAAAATAACGATTATGACAATTGTCACTTCACTGAAATTTTAATTTAACATATTTACAATATATATTTTTACCTATTTACTTTAAAAAAATTCAAAAAAGTTCAGAAATAACAATTATGACAATTGTCACTTTTCTATGATATATCTTCACTGAAATTTTAATTTAACATTTTTAAAATATATATTTTTACCTATTTACTTTAAAAAAATTCAAAAAAGTTCAAAAATAACGATTATGACAATTGTCACTTTCTATGGTGCATCTTCACTGAAATTTTAATCTAACATGTTTATAATATATATTTTTACCCATTTGTTTAAAAAGATTCAAAAAACTTTAAAAATAACGATTATGACAATTGTCACTTATCTAGGGGAAATCTTCACTGAAATTTTAATTTAACATATTTACAATTTATGTTTTTAATCATTAGCGTCAAAAATAAACTAATATGTTTTAAAATACAGATTATGATATTTGTCATTTTTACAAAGGAACATTATCATTGAATTTATAATTTAACATATTTATAATATAAATTATATTTTTACCCTTTTGTACCAAAAATTTCAAAAATGTTAAAAAATATCATGACAATTGTCACATTAAAATATTATAAGACGATCATGTAAAATAACATAAAAATTTAATATAAATATTTATAAATTATTTAAACTAGTTCTTTTAATATACTAAAAAAAATAGATAATTTTACAAAAATGTAAAAATAAACCCATAAAAGATTTCAACTAAAAGATTAATAACAAAAAAATTAATTAAAAAAGAAGATTTGAAATTGTTATCAATTCTAATTTAGCTTAAAATTTTTGCATGAAAACCACAAATTAATTGTAACAAAAATAATATTATACACCTATTCGAAATATTCGTCCTCTAGTCGACTTAAGTTCACGACTCAAGTCGACTTGAGTTTATGACTCGAGTTTACGACTTAAGTCAACTTGAGTTCACGACTTAAGTCGACTTGAGTTCACGACTTCAGTGAGTCGACTAATTCGACTAACGACTCAGACTCTGAGTCAGGTGAACTCGACTTTTTAACAACACTAAATAGGATTTTCAGTACAGCAAACGCATTACTGAGAGATAAACGATCTTAAAAACTCTGAAAAACAATCATCATTAAAATTGTTTAAAAAATAAATCATCAATTTACTTATTGAATAAACAAATTATTTTCATTACAAAAAAAATCTGTAGAATTTAGTTGAATTGTAAGACTTGTGTAATATAATAAATATTTTTCGATTGATGCAATAAAAAGAAAACAGTATTCAATAGTTTTTCATAATAACAGTTTTTGTACTTTAAAAAGTAAAGACGTTAATTTTAGTAGGAAATGTAACGACGTAACTTTTTGAGTAATGTTAACTGCTCTATACTCATAGACTTATATTAATATAATTGTACACCGCCCAATTCTATAAAGTTATAAAAACATATTACATTTGGCAGCCATTTGCAAAATATTTTAATAAATCTATGCTTATAATGATTTTAAGGTTAAATATTTCATGTATGATTTTTTTTATTTAATAGCATATAAATATAAATTACAAATATAACATTTTTCAAAAAGATATAATATAAAAATGAATTATTTTTTAAAAATTCATATTTTAAAATAATGTAGAAAAATAAATATATGTTAGTTCGGCCAAGCCCGGGTTAATATATTTTCAGGCCCGGTCCGGATATTTAATAATATATTATATTTATTTTAAATTTTGATAATAATGGCTATTTAAAATATTTGGTTTTAAAATATAAGGCCAGACCCGAGTATTATTTTTAAAAAAATTTTAGGCCCAGCCCGGGATATATATATATATTAAACAATTTTTATAAAAATAATAACAAAATAATTTCCACAATATGGAGCATTTTTATAAAATTTGATTTGTATATTTTTTATAATAACAAAAATAGCGGTTAAAATGACATGAATTTAAAATTCATGTAAAAGTGTTTTTGTTCAGCAAAAATGATGCATCTCTTCCACAAGTAATTAAATATTTGTATATGCATTTATTAAATATATTTTTTGTTTTAACTATAATTACATTCTGAAATTTTCTTAAACCTTTAACAATCTTTATATCAGAGACCTGCAGGCCCGGCCCTAAGCCCGGGTACACCGACCCGTATTTTATTTTTTTAAATATATCCGGGCCGGGCGTGAAAATTTTTTTAAAAAAAATATCCGGACCGGGCCGTATATTTTAAAATCAAATATTTAAAATCGCCATTATTAGCTATAAAAATCAAAAATAAATATAATATATAAAATCCAATTAAGCTCAACTGCTAGTGCTAAATTAATATTTAGTGAGTGATATTCATATTATATTTTTAACACAGAATTTGATTGCAAGCTGACATAGTGAAAAATTTATATGTATTAATCTAATCTAATAATTAAAATAGTATTCATTTAATAAAAATTTAGATAGTCTTATTAATTTTTAAATAATAAAATTAAATCTATATATAACTTAATAGAATTATAACAGAAATCGTTTAGGGGGCAATCAAAAAAATTTATTTTTAGTTCAAGGGGATATTAAGAAGCCGTTAAAAAAATTTTTTTGCTTCAGGGCAGTGGCGTAGCTAGGAATTTTTCTTAGAGGGGGTCCATACATATAAAATCCTGGGGGCTTCGCCCCCAGATTCCTTTTAACGGGCCTTCGGCCCTTTTGCCCGGCCTTCGGCCGGGTTTATCTTAAAAATCATAACCACATCTTCGACAATATATAATAAATATATTTTTTAAATGCATGAATAATATGTTATTCTTTATAATAATACTACCCAGAATAATTTCTATAGTAATATAATATCCTTCCACAAACATCAAATCCAGAAAAATATAAATATTAATGGTATTTATTTGATATAAATTCGCTTTTAAGTCTTTTGAACGTATAATCTAAATAAAAAAATTTTGCTCTGGGAGGGGTCCAAACCCGAAAACCACCCCCGTAGCTACGCCACTGCTTCAGTGGGCTATTCAAATTTTTCAGGGGGCTCGAGCCCATCCTCCCTCTAGTGACGCCACTGTAAATTAAACTCATAGTTCATAGATATAAAATATTTTATTTCGTCATTTTTCGAGAAAGAAAGCTAAAAATTTTTAAAAAAATATTATAAATGAAATATTTCTAGGCAGATAATTTTTTAAAACATATTTTTCTTTTTATAAACTTTTATGGGTTACACTGCCACTCTCGGGGGGTATATTATTTTTTGTTTTATTTTTGTTATTTTTATGTTATTTTTTTGTTATTTTTATGTTATTTTTTGAAATGTTATTTTTTTTATGTTATTTTTTTATGATATTTTTTTTATCAATTTTTTATTTTGCCTACAAATTTAATTTTTTTGTGAAGAAATTTTTAGGATTTTGCCTACAAATTTAAATTCTTTCTGTGGTAAAATATAGGAATTATTAATTCCGCATATTTAAATTATATTTAGGAGAATATTTGGCTACAAATTTAATTTTTTATTTAAGATATATAAATAGTTTTTTCTACAAATTTTTATTTAAGATATTTTGAAAAATTTTATCTACAAAATGTTGTATTAGGGGTAAAAAAATATAGAAATTCTTAATTCCGCATCGTTTATATATGCGGGAAAAAGGGGGTAGGAGAATTTTGCCTACAAATTTTCTTAAAAAGATAAGGATAATATTCATGAATATCTTCTTGAATATAGATATTTTAGAAAATATAAATTGTTAAATCGTTTTGACATTTTTTAAATCATTGTATTAACTTTAATAATATATTTCAATTTAATGAATAAAATTGAGTATTTAATACTATATTTCGTGTATAAATTTTAATACTATATTTCGATTTAACCCTTCACTAGAAAAATTAAAAATCACTTAAACTTCAAAGGTGGGGTCTATTTTATCCCTAATACAAAATTAATAAAAATTTGTAGACTTAAATAAAAAATTAAATTTGTAGGCAAAATTCTCCTAAAATAACTTAAATATTTTACCACAAAAAAAATTAAATTTGTATGCAAAATTCTCCTAAATATAACTTAAATATGCGGAATTAATAATTCCTATATTTTACCACAAAAAAATTAAATTTGTATGCAAAATTCTCAAAAATATAACTTAAAAATAAAAAATTGATAAAAAAAATATAAAAAATTGATAAAAAAAAATATAAAAAAATAATATACCCCCCGAGATTGGCAATAACCCTTTTATGTTTTCGTGAATTATATGGGGTTATTTTTAATTTTTCTTGCATTTTGTAATTTATCAATTCTTTCAAAAAAAAAATAAAAAACTTTTACATCAATTTTAAATTTATATCATTTTATATTATAAAATATATATCAGAGAGCTGCAAGCCCGGCCCTAAGTCCGGCTCGAACCGTATTTTAATTTTTTAAATATACCCGGGCCGGATCATGCCTAAATATTTTGTAAAAAACCGGGCCGAGTCGTGCAAATGGCACTGCAGATCTCTGATATATATATTCATATTATGTTGTAACCGCCATTTTTATTATATAAATAATCTACAAATTAAATTTTTTAAAATGATCTTCTAAAAAAAACAGGGCCAGATAGTCTCTGATAAAAATCATGTTAGTTTACGCCAATCTCTACAGTAAAGTATATTAGATCGTTTTAATTCTAAAGAAATAAAATTTAAATATATTACATGATTTATCATAAATATGCATTAATAGTTTCTGGTGAAAATCATTATATCGTATACTACATTGCGATATTAACCAAATATTCACAAGTGTTTTATTCAATATAAATTTTCCATCGTCAATTAAAGGCTGATCTAAACGATAATATAAAATTTATAATTAAAAAGTTTGTAAATATACTAATAGATCTAGATATTGATAGCGAACAAAAATTACTTGCCAATTCAAAAGATTGTTGAATATTGAGATATAAACTATAAATTTAAACAAAAATATATTTGAAACTGAGTATATATCGAACCTATTTATCAAATATTTAATTTGATTAATGTAATTGAAAATTTCGGATATCAATTCTTCATAATAACTGTTTTCATTATTCATTTCACTAAAATCATCAAATAGATTTGGTTTAACCTGAGTAACGATATTTTCTTTCGACTTAGTTAGCAACATGTATTGTTTTTCTTTTTTTAAATATATTTTAAATATTACTCTAAGATAATTTAATATTTACAATACAATATATCATAGGTTTCGCAAATTTTAAAAATATCACATTAATATTTTATTATAACAAACATATTCTTTATATTATTCATTTAAGAATGACCAAAAATCATCTCTAACATATGATTTAACAGATTTTAAAAAATAGCTAACTCAAGATTTTTGCAAAAAAATATTACCCAAGCAAGGAGATTTTGCTCATAGGTGGCAGAAAGGTTTGGGACGATTATTGTCAAAGTAAAATAAAAAGTTAAGCCCAAATATTTTGAAAAATAATCATATTGTGTTATTTATATATATATATATTTTTTTTATCAGTGCAAATAAATATTACACTGTCGTATATTTTTTCAATGCAATTATTTTTTATAAAGAGGCTATCGCGAATACTCACAAATTTTCATTTAAATTCCTTTGATCAAAATGTGCAAATTGCAAAGTATTTTGTAAAAAAAATTTTTTTATTAAAAATGATAGCTAAATAAATAATTTTTAAAGTAGCTTGAAACTAGTTACTATTAAAATATAATTGCAACTCATTACTTCAAAAAAATGTAACTGTAATTAGTTACTATAAAAAGCAACCTTTAATTAATCCCAAATGGCTATGATATTAAATATAAATCAAATCTCACCAAATTTAAATAACAATATTCTCTGAGTATAACAACCGTTAGTAGGAAAAATCAATAGATATTACCTTAATTAGCTTACAAAAACAAGTTTAAAAAAATATCAGCAGGAAGATCCCAAAGTAAGAGGAACGAAAAGAAAAAAATAATAATTTTAACAAAAATACATTATTTTATATATGAGGGCTATCTATTTTTGAAAAAGATATTCTCTTTTTTTTTAAATCGCAATAACTAAAAACCCCATGGCTGTCAATTTTTTACAAACAGGTAACAGGTATAAGTGAGTAATAAAATTTCGGAAAGCAAAACACCTAAAGCGTTCAAGTTCAAAATTTATAAGGTTAAAAACCGCTACAATATTATTTCAAAAATCCTCAATATTTATTAAAAGGCCTATAGTTACAAAATAAGATATAATTTTTACTTTTAACAATTATATTTAAAATTTTCTCAATTTTTAAAAATCGATTGATATCTCAGGAACTATTAGTACACTAGGAGGGTAAATTTTCTATGCCTTTTAATGTTGTTTTTTCAGTATGCAAAATTTCATAAAAATTAGAAAGGTCGGGCAGAAAAGTTATCGATTTGGTATGGAATTACCCAGATAAATAAAATATTTTCTGACTGAAATAAAAATATTCACTCTTGGGCTCATAAGATGGACTTGGCCTAGGAATGGTTGGGGAGGGGAGGGTAAAAATTAGATATAGATAATAAAAGGCATTTAAAAAATATTTTGATTATAATGATAATTATCACTTTAGTGAAGCGTGTAGGGTGGGGGTGGGGGGTCAAGAATATTTTATCAAGACAAAATTATATATATGGGTTTCAAATAGAAGCTAATTAAATTATCTTTTGACTGAAATAATATTATTTACAGCTATTAATGGACTTATTTGGTCCGGATGGACAGATGGTGGGGGGAGGGGGTTAAAATAAAAATTTGCTATGGGTATCAAATAGAAGGTAAAAAGTTAATTAAAATATTTTTAGATTATAATGATAACAATCCTCTAAGTGGTCTGGTCTAGGTCTTGTGGGTCAGGAATATTTAACACATAATATTGATATGATGGAAGCTATTTAAAATATATTTTGACTAAAATAATAGTATTCATTTTGGTTTTAATGGGTTGAACTTTGTTTGGTGGAGATCAGGGAAGGGAGTAGATAATAAAAATTTGATAAAGGATTAATAAATATTTTGACTGAAATCATAACATACACTCTTGGTACTAATGGGTTAAATTTAATCTAGGATGGGGGAGGGATAAAACTGAAATTTTGATATTAATATCAAATAAAAGGTAATTAAAAAATTTTTTGACTGAAATAATAGCATTCCAGTGGCGTAGCCAGGATTGATCCATGGAAAGGGGGGGGGGGTTTAAAATTTTTATGATTTTGGGCAAATTTATGATTAATAAGCGACTGATATTCAGAAAATTTTATCAATGTTTAGTCAATTGTAAACTTATTATTCTATTTAGAATGAAAAAAAAATTTGCCCCTAAACCTCCCATTTTTTGTGATCACTCATTATGTCTTATTCTATTATAAAATAGTTATTTTAATTAAATTTTTGCATATAAAAAAATATAACAAAAATTTTATTTATTATTAAAATACTTTAGTATAAATAACATCCCTTTATTTAACTATGTATTTATTTTAATGATAATATACAATAAAATAAATTTCAAAATGTAGAAATTTTATACAATATAAAATTACAATAAAATATAAGTAATTCTTGTACAGTATTTAAAAAATATAATTTAACAATTATAATTAATACAAATGAGTTTATTATCAAAATATAAATAATTCCTATGGCAAATACAATACTTTTATTAAAAATAGTGTAATATAAAAAATATATAAATATTATGACTAAGAATTCATTATAATTAAGTTATGCATATAAAAAATTTATGACTAAAAAACATATTATAATCATATTGATTTGAATGTATAAAGAGAGTTCTACTTTTCTCTGGGATTTGGCTAATTCTAGAATCAAATTTATATCTAGAATAATCTCTTTATAAATATTTAAAGTTTTCACAGGTGCTATTTCTTAAATAGGTTTTAAACCTGTTCAAAGTTGAAAAAGATCTTTCATTAGTGCAGGTACTAATTGGTAAGGTAACTAAAATAAAAAGCAATGTCTTGATATTAGGCAGGGAATCTAAAGTGCTATTACATAGGCCTGCAAAGCATTTATGGTCACAAAGAGTAGTCAAGATTTTTATTATAAAATTCGACATGTAACTTATCATATGATCCTGATAAATATCAGAATAAAACTCTGAGATTTCTTAATATCCTTTTGCATTTCAAGTGTATTCAGACTCAACTGGCAAAAGAAAATAAAAGTTGTGATAAAATAAAATTGTGACTAATAAATCTTTCCTTTAATTGAAATAAAAATGTATCAATAAGGGGAATAAAAATATTTATTTTATAAAAATCCTCTATTGTAGATGCATTAGTAATTAAGCGATTGGATTGCCTAGAAACTATTCTAGGTTCAAAAATTTCAATCCTTAACATATTAGCGATCTTCCTTTCTCATATTTACGAAATTAAACGATTTTTATTTTATTTAAAATTTATAAAAAATAAATTAAAATTATCTAATTAATCAGTTTAACAATATAAATTTTATTATTAAATTTATAAATATCCAAACTTTTATTTTCTTTTTTTAGGAAGTGAAATTTTTTTATGCCAACAAATATTTATAATATATCTTTATTGTTATTTATATTTTATATAAAATTTTTAATATATTTTTTTTAAACCATATGATCATTTAAAATTGAAAATTCTTATTTGTTTTTTTAAATATATTTCATTTTGATATCGTATATTTTATTTTATATCTAAATTGAAACCGTTTTTAAATAAAATTATTCGCAATAAAAAAAATTTTTTTTTGAAAGTTATGGGGGGTGGGGTAAACCCCAAAACCTCCCTTGTCTACGCTACTGTAGCATTAACACTTGGTCTTAATGGGTTAGACTTAGTCTAGGTTAGGAGGGGTAAAAACTAAATTCTAATATGGGTATCAAATAAAAGGTAATTAAAATATTTTTTGATTGTGTAATTATAATTATCACATAATTAGGCGAGTCAAGTCTGGAGGGGGGGGGGGGTCAAGAATATTTTTACCAATACAAAATATTGATATAATTAAATAAATGGTAATAAAAATATCTGTTGACTATTAAAGTGTCCTTTTTAGTTATTATAGAAATATCGAAATCGCAATAGTGTCTTATTTAGTAATTATAGAAATATCGAAATCGCAATTTTTTATTTTTCAAAATCTCATTTTTTCCCGATTATTATAATATCATCTAAATAACAAGCTACTCCTTCAAAACCTTTTAATAAATTCTCGATGACTCGTTGAAATATGGCTGGAGAAGACGATATACCAAAAGGTAGTCTTGTATATTTAAATAATCCTCTATGCGTATTTTATACAAGATATTTTTGAAACTCTTTCCCCACTTTAATTTGAAAATAGGCATCTGAGAGATTTAATATTGAAAATTCCGCTCCTTTTCCCAAACTGGCTAATAAATCTTGGATTCTTGGTATTGGGTATGAATCAATATTAATATTTTGATTTATAGTTCTTTTAAAATCCACGCAAATTCGTAATGTTTTATCTTTCTTTGAACAATTACTATGGGTAATGCATAAAGTGAATGATTAATTTTTTCTATTACTCCTATTTTTAGCAATCTGTCTAAGTCTTCTTCAACTTTATCTTTTAATGCGTTTAATACGAGACGTGATTTACAGAAAATTGGTTCTCGTTTTTCATATATATTTGTACCTTAAAATCTTTCAAGCAGCCCGATTCTTTGGTAAATAATTGAGGAAATTCATTTTTTATATTAATGTTATTATTTGTATGGTCCTTACAGGTATTTCAGTCATTTTGGGAAATTTAGTTATCCAGTTTCTTCCAATGAGATTTTTGGTATATCCTTTTGAAATTATGAGAGGTAGTTCTAGTCCTTTATATTGTACTTTTACTATAGTCTGACCTAATAGTGGTATATTGGTTCCTGTATAGCTTTTAAGTTTTAGCATGCAATTTGTTAATCCAGGACAATTAAGTTTATCTTTCCAATCTATTTCGTTAATCATGCTTACCCCAGCTCCAGTATTTAATTCCATTCTGATATCGCTGTTGTTTATTTATAAAATCCACCCAAAATTCTGGATTATATTCGTTTGTTTTATTAATAATAAAATTCACTATTTTTCTATAGACTCGAGCAATGTGCCTAATTTTGTTGCATTTATAACAAGTGGCATTCTTGAAAAAACAATTTTCCCTTCTATAGTTTCCGTCGCAAGATTGACAGGGATTTGGTTTTTTGTAGCTCGTATTATAATTATTATATGATATGAATTGTTTTGATTATTTATCATTATCATTATTAACTTTTTGAATTTTATTTATATTATCATTATGTTCCTCTTTTAAATGATCGATTTTAGTTTCATAATTTTATATTTTTTTTAGCTGTTTCTACTGCAGTAGCTTTTGAATAGCTTTATTTATGACTATATCATCTTCAGATAATAATCTTTGTAAAATTTTAGAATTTTTTATTCCGAATATAAATTTATCTTAATGTAGTATTTAAATATTCCCCAAATTCACAAGTCGTTGATAATTTTAGAAGATTTTGTATATAGTCTATTAATTTTTCCGCATTTTTTTGATTATATTAATAAAAATTATATCTTTCTACAATTATATTAGGAGTAAGATGAAAAAATTTGAGTAAAATGTTATATATTTCTAATACCTCTTTATTTTCAGGACAATCTGGTGAGCATAAATTTACCAATATTTTATAAATATCACATCCTATTGTTGTTAATAGCAGGGATTTTTCTTGTGATGATGTTAACCTTGGTTTATGTTTTTAAATTCTTTAAATAAGTCGTACCAATCTTTGTAACACAAGTTTGAATCCGTTAAACTTTTTATCGACTGCGCCATTTTTGTAGTGTCTATTTTAGTTATTATAGAAATATCGAAATCGCAATATTGTCTTATTTAGTAATTATAGAAATATTGAAATCGCAATTTTTTATTTTTCAAAATCTCATTTTTTCATTATTCAAATCATAATATAAATAATGAAAATAAACATTTTTCAAAAAATACAAAAAAATAACAAAACAAGTCAATACTTATTAACTACAATGTTAAATATTACTATAATTGGTTGTGCCTAAGTCTTGGAGGGTCAGAAATATTTTTATCAACATAAAATATTGATATGGGTAACAAATAAAAGGTGATTATATTATCTTTTGGCTATAATGTTAAATATAATAGTCGTCTGGTCTAGGTATTGAGAGTCAGGAATATTTTAATCAGCATAAAATATTGATAGGGTATCAGATAGAAGCTAATTAAAATATTGATATATGCATCAAATAGAAGCTAATTAAAATGAAGGAGAAATCTCTAATTTCTCGTCATTTGAAGAGTTAATAACTCTGGTATTAACACTTTTCCATTATCTTCTTTTACGCTGAGAACTGTTTATGTTATGATTATTTCTTCCAAGGAATTGAAAAACCGCGTATTATTTTATCAAAATTTAATTAAAAAAAATATTTTAAACATAAAAAAATAGGAGACACTATATTAAACCTGAAAATAAAAGGTACAATCCTTTCATGTTGGACATATTATAGAATTTCTACAATACATTATATAATTTATACCTGTAAAAGTAATTTTCAAAAATAAATAACAAAATATTTGATAGTTCTCTTTTATAGAATAACAACTTATCCGACAAAAGTATAAAAATACTTCAAAATATCATTATGAAAAAGGGTGCAGGCAGAGAATTTAAGGGGTAGGGCTCTCGTTTTTGCCCCACCTCAGTATTTATGCCACTATCTGATAATTTTATAAAATATGTTTAGATGGATTAAAAAATTGGCAAATATCCAAAATTAAATAAAATAAAATATTTAGGACTTGTATTCATTTCTAATGGCGGTCCAAAATTTTGAAATTTTAATGATTCCAGTAGTTCGTATAATAAAGAATGTTTGGATATAAATTTTTCAATACTATTACTTATTTCTTTCTGATTATAAATAATGGATTTTATATTCATTATAACATGGAAAAATGTGATATCGTTTGGCTGATTTAATTGATTTTCCCAAGACTGACAGGTATCGCCTATATACAAGTTATGATAAACTTCGCAACCCTAAATGTAATAAAACTTTAATTTATTATTAATCTAAACTACTTTCACAATAATTTCAAAATTTTCTTGATTATCAGAAATGATGGAATGTAAAATTATAAAGGATTTTTTGAAATTATTTAATAAAATTTTAGATTTTTCCTATAAAAACATTTATAAAATAAAATATGTAATAAACTAAACCATTGTGCCGTACATTTTCTTAATGTTTAAACAGTATTTATTCTTGAGGGTTATCAGATCATTAAAATTCTGTGATAGTTTTTTTTCTAAATGTATTTTAAAAGATTCAATATCATAATTATAAAGATTGTCCGAGTGCGATAAAAATTTAATCTCATTGAATTTAGGACAATATAATTTAAATTCATCCATAAAACTTTCTTCATCTTTTGAAAATAACTCTGGCTTAGCTAAAAAAGGATAAATCTGCGTGTACATTCTATTATAATAAAAAATAATCAAACACCAGTAATTTCAAAATTTACTCTTCTAAAAAATTTAAATATTCGCATATTAGATTATATGATGCGGAGGTTAAAATGTTAGTTCTAAAATCTTCAAAATATAATATAATGTGAGCGAAATCTAAAATATGTTCCGCATCAAGCCTGATTATTTTCTAATAAATTTATAATAATAAGGTTTCGATTAAGCAAGTTTACTTGTTCTGTCTTGTATTTTGTTAATATTTCGAACATATTCATTTTTAAAGAGTAATTACATCTTGAGGACAAATTAATAATGCTCTATGATATAAAAATTTTTTATTCGATATCTTATTTAATAAACCTTATTAAATTCATCCAAAAAAGTGGGATATGATAAAATTTCGGAGTTATCGTTTTTATCCGTGCTTTGAATATTTGAATATAATAGATTCCAAGAATGAAAATTAATATTAGAAATGTGAAAAGACTTATAATTTTCGTATATAAATAAGACCATTTCTAAGCTAAATTTTTTATGATTTGTTATTTTTAGTGGATATAAAAACTTATTTTTGTTTGCTTCATACATTTCATCCATGGTTAAAAATTTAGTGTGTATAAGGTTATCACTACTAGAAATCCGAATACTATTCAATACTGAGTTATCTTTCGCTTTTAATAATTTGATATTAATATTATCCTGATATATTTTTTCTAAGGGTTGTAACTATAAAAATAAAATTGAATTAGTAATTGAATTCTATATTTTTACAAATCTCCAAAATAACTGTGAGACATAGGTCGAATATATATGAATGGCGTTATCATAATAATCTTCACCATCTAAAACATATGCCAAAAATTATTATTAAATTAACTCTTAAATTGAATAAAAAATCAAAACTTAGTATTAATTTAAAAGCCAAAAATATGTTGCTTTCCATTTAAACTGAGAACTCCTTATTATATGCCTTGAGTCAAAACCATTTTTTAACATTTTATAGGATGTGCGATAACATTCATTTTCAATATTATATAGTATCCCTAGCTCATTTAATTGTTACCTTCTTCAATTCTAGTAACCCTTTCGGAGAATGATGAATATTTTTTTTCATATGCAATATTTTATTAGCGCGGTAAAAAAATTCTGGTAATAGGCATTTCTGGTTTTGGGAGTAATTTATATTATAGCATTATATATTAAACTTCTTTTTTTTCATCGCCTATACCATATTTGCATAAAAAATAAATTATATCTGACGGCACTTGATCACACTTTTATATTATTTATTTAAGTAATTTTTTATAGACGAAACTAAAAAGCCAAATTGTAGATGGGAAAAATTCTCAGGCCGTGTCCTAGGTCGGCTTTACTAAATAGCCAAAAAAGCGAATGAAAAATTTTAAAAAAAACCAAAAATCATAACAAAAAAACAAGAATAAAATACAAATAACAATGCCACCAAATATTTAAAACAAACAAAATTGGGTGTTCTGGTTCTAAAAATTTTCAGCCTATATTAAAAAGAAATTAAGTATCCAAATTAAGTATCCAAATTAAGCTGACCTACACAGCCTCATAATTACTTTCGAAATATGCTTAATTTTTAAAGTTTTTGCCAGCCCATCTCTAAAATTTCTAAATATTAATAGCTTAAAATGATACTTCTGAGTAAGGCCTGTATCAGACGCTTGCACGAGTCAGGCCCAAAATAAAAAGACTTATAAGGTAAGTTATAAATGTTTTTAAAGCTTGTATAATAACTATGCTCACTAACATGCATGCATTAATTTTAACAATATTCGTAGATTTGAAGATATTCGCAATTTATGCTAATTTTTAATGCAAAAATCAATCCAAAATTTATTATAAAATAATCCTAGCCCATATCTCTAACATTTCTACTATACCTGATTAATTTAAAAGGATAAATTAAATTATTGTCTTGTATAATTTTTTAATCTTAAATAATTACACTGAATTTTTGAATGTTTTTTCAAAGTCATTTACTGAAGGGGAGAAATCTGCCCTTTGATTTTGAAAGTTCTAGACTTCAAACATTGCAATCCAAAAAGAAAAATTATATATACTTTCATTATTAAATATAATATTTGCATTACTTCATCTGATAGTAATGCAGTTTAATTAAAGATTTTATGATGAATAGATGAAATATTTAAATCAAACATCATTTTTTGCACCAAAAGGAATAGCGGAAAAGAAATTTGTTAAAGATGATATCGAAATGTGAAATTTACCATTTGAATTCGAGTCAAGTTTTTGAAGAAATGTCTAAGTTTCGAAATAATTATATGATGGCTAAAAAAAGGATGTAATTATTACGCAAGAACTGAAGGTTAAAGAATCTAAGGACTTGTTAAATTCTGAGATTTGTTAATTTATTTTATTAAAATATTTATATTAATATATTATTTAGCTTTTCTTCTTCTGATGATGATTCTGAAATTTATGATTCAAATTGGAAAAACTATTCGTTTATTTACCTTATCGTTTACTTTCTAATTTTTCTGCTTCCCCTAATTTATCAATTTTATATTATTTATGCCGAAATAGTTATGAGTAAAATTAAACTAATTATATCAAGATTTCGTAGTACCATAATAATTTCTAAATAATTTAACCATTTTATTATCAATAAAAGAAAATTTATATAAACAATTAAATATTGATAAAATTATAATTCTTTCGCTTTCTTTTCCCCTAATTTGTCTAAATTGTTAATTTAAAAAAATATTCTTATCATGTATATTTTTTAACATTTTTATTTATAAGAGGTAGGAAGTAAAGAAAAACTGCTTTTTTGGAAGGGGGTATATTTTCGGAGGGGGGGGGGGTGTATGCTTCCATCGCTTAGTGTAAGGGCCACTGTCGTAATCAATCTTTTTTATTTTGGTAACATATTTCCCAAAGATGCTATGAATCTATTGGAATACTTTTATGATCCTGCTGTTGAATTATAAAATTATCAAGGCTAAAGTCAGAGATATCGAATCTCATATTTAAAAATGCTATAAAAAGTTTATTTTTTATAATAATGAAAGTAATTTGTTTGATATATTTAGTTAATTTAATTTTTTTAAATAATTGCATTTAGTGCTTTCTATATTTTTTAGATTAATTAAATACAACTAAATCAAAAATTGGTTATTTATATATTTTGCATACAAAATATAGGAAATAGAAATGCTCTAATACTATATGAAGCAGTTAAAAGATTGTGGATGAATTTAAGTCAAAGTGAAAAATTAATATATGTCCCTAATCTTTGGTTCTATTTTGAATCTTGATTCCGAGTTTGGAAATTTTAATTATTTTTTTTTAATAACCTTTTTATTATTATACTGTTTCTAAACGAATTAAAGCATTGAACTAAAATATATACTAGTTAAGCATTGTTGAACTATATTTCAGAACTAGGGCTTTCAAAATGGCAATATAGACTGTCTTAATTTGAGTTTCAGATTCATATTTAATTTTTGAAAATATAACTCGATCCAAATATAAGATTTTAACTATTTTACTTCTACATAGAGAAAAGAAAAATCTCTATGAGATCGTAGAATGATATTAAAATATTTTTAATCGGGAAAAGAGAAACATTAATATATTTAGATGTATGATTTTTGAATAGCAATTTGAAATCCAATAAAAAAAACTCAGGATAAGGCGTGCCGCATAGTTTTCATTTCGCTTATAACTTATTTCTGTTTATTAACTGGAATTAATTGATGAATTAAAAGTAGGGGAGACCGGAGTAAAACGGGATAACAATGTTAACGGGAATAACATTTAAACTCTTGAGTATAATTGACCTTAAATTTGGCATGAAGATGTATTTTCATATATTATTTTTTACCTATGTTCATCTTATTAAAAATTGCCAAACTGTTTTTTAACCAAATATTATAAAAATCACTCTAGTGTTTTTTGCTTTTAGCAAAAAATATTTCCTCGGGATTTAATTTTTCGCATGCATGTTCTTTAAAGTATTACCTATAAAATAAAATATCTGACATTTATGACTATACAAGAAGTCACACAATAACGATGTTTATATAAGAAATTAAAAGAGAAAAACCATAATCAGAATTGTAAATATAATTGATGTAATCATAAAATACACTTCATTAAATTTATCTGCTAAATATATAACATACCTTATATAAGTTGAGAAATAGATAAAAATGAATCATAAACAAATATTAACTAAAGAAGAAAAATCTAGATTGTGTGTATAGATATTAAAACCCAGTAGGTCATTTATGAGATTAACACCTAAACAATTAATTAAATTATAAATTATATTGATAGTATTTGAATTGAGCATTATTAACATTATATAAAATATATTAAAATTTGAAATAATCATAAATTATGAAATGAATTTTATGTTTCAATTGAGCTTTTTTAATAAAACTACAAAAGAATTATTAAAATTATCAATTTATCTAATTTTTTATCAATTTAATAAGTCTATAAAGCTAGTATTGAAAATTATTAAAATGAAATTGTTTATTTTTTAAATAAATAAGATAAAAGAATTATTAAAATTATCAATTTATCTAATTTTTTATCAATTTAATAAGTCTATAAAGCTAGTATTGAAAATTATTAAAATGAAATTGTTTATTTTTTAAATAAATAAGATAAGGGCAATTGCATATCAGCTAGGTATAGAATATCACAAATCTTTCCCAGAGTGCTGGGCATCCAATGGTATGGCTAGAGATGATTGGCTTATGGGGTTTAGAAAAAGTTCTCAACTCTTGCATGTAAAGTAATTATCATAAGTTGCACATTTAGAATGTGCTCATTCAAGGCATGTGGTATATTTTAACCATTCATCGCCCTAAACAGATAACACAGCCAATTCTCTTTCAATACCTTTTTCCTCTAAATTAACAAAAAAATTTATAATGAGTAAACGTAGTATTTCTGAGGCTTTTTTAGATATTTCATCAGATGAAATTATTATTGGTTGTCAATACCAAATTTCTTTTTTAAGACTTCTGGAATATCATAAATTGAAATTGTTTCCTAACATGACTTTCGCAATGTGCCAATAGTTCAATTATAAAGCTTTTCAAGGAGTTTAGGCTGAGAGGAATAGTTATCTAAGATGATTAACAAAACTTTTTTTCTAATTGGGTGTGCTAGAATTTTTTTTTAAAGTGTTGCATAAAACATAAAAAATTTTCTTCTTGCGTCCAACAAGATATGTTTCTCACACCCTTATATCCAACAGGACCATCAAAAGTGATCTTTATATCATTATTTTGTAAAAGTGAAAAATGGTGGAATGCTATGACCTATAGCACTAATGGCTAAACATTTAACTATCGTTCCTTTTTCTCCCGAAGTTATGGAAGCAACTTGTTTGGCACACTTGTGCTATAATTCTAGAAGGAATTTGAACGGTGGTAGAACCACTTTCATCTATACATTAGAATGTTCAAAGTTTTAGGGATTAGATATCTGCATTGGGCGGGTTTTTAGCCCGCCAGCCTCTAAGTGGGCAGGGCGGGTTAAATTTTTTTAAAGAACGGGTGGGCGGTCGGGCGGGTTATGATAAATATTTAAACTATGGGCGGGTTGGTGGGCGTTAAAAAATTTACAACATTTATTTATTTAAAATGATTTATGCAAATATTAAAAAAAAATGTTTCATGAAATTTCAACATTTTTAAATACCAATCGATATCTGAGGATGTGTTGATATCGAAAACATGTATTTGCATGGAAGAATATAACATCAACTTGAATGAAAATTTGATTTTACCCGTTCCAAAAGCAAAGAGAATTTAATTAATGCAATGTTTAA